TATATATATATATATATATATATATATATATATATATATATATATATATATATATATATATATATATATATATATATATGAAATATTATTTTTCATATTTTCATGCTTATTTTATTAGGAAGAAATGGTAATCAAAAATCAGAAACGAAATTTGGCAATTTATGCTCATTCAAATTTGATGGCACCAAAAAAGGAATCACTGGAAATTTCACATCGTGCGGAAGTTCTTCGTGAAACAACTAAAGTTTTATTAAGAGGGTAAATTTAATTGTTTAAAAAATTTGTAATTTTTCTTTTTTTAATTTAATAATTAACATTAAATTAATTGGAAAATTTTTATTTAGTGATGGTTTAAGTGAAACAGAACGTTTACCATCAGAATTAGATTTGGCTACATTACAACGTTTACTTCCGGAAATTGATATATCACAATTTATTGGAAATATTACGGATTATTTGGGTGAAGAAAAACCATCGATAGAAGAATGCTTACCACGACCATTACCATGTGATCATACCACAAAATATCGTACATTTTCCGGTTGGTGTAACAATTTGAAATTTCCACATTATGGAAATGCATTTGCACCAATGCGTCGTTTACTGGATCCGGTTTATGAGGATGGTAAATTTTTTTTTCAAATTCAAAAATTATTAACAAATATATATATATATATGTATGGTATAAATATATGATATAACAATTAGTAAAATCATTTTAATCGCATCCATTGATAGGTTTTGATAGTCCACGTATATTTGGTCGTAATAATAGACGTAAATTACCATCAGCACGTAAAGTATCAAATATTGTGCATGCAGAAGCACCGGTATTTCATGCCAAATATACGCATATGCTAATGCAAATGGGGCAAATAATTGATCATGATTTTGCTCATTCACCAGTTTCAAGAGGTTTTAAAATTAATTTCAAAATTTGAATGTTATTTTAAAATTAGCAAAAAAAAAGAAGCAAAATGTACTGTTTTATATTTAATAAACATAATCAAATTTATTAGTATAATAATAAATTTAAAGTAATACTTTTGTGAATGATAATAATATTAATTGTTAAAAATTTTAACTAAAAATTTTTTCAATTTTTGATTTATTCTTGTATTTTTGAAGTGTTAATTAATTAATCTATTATTATTATTATTATTATTATTATTATTATTATTATTATTATTATTATTATTATTATTATTATTATTGTTATTATTATT